CAAATTCAGTACAGAAATAAGTCCATAAATAAAATTTAAAGAAATAATCATCTATCAAGGAACAGTGGTACACTAAGCATTCCACTTTGTCCTTCTACATCTGCATTCATCTCTATGGCTTTTGGTCATACTATGTATACATGGCTCAGTGGCTAAGAGCTCAGCTGCTAACCAAAACGTTGGCAGTTCGAATCCACCAGCCATGCCCTGGAAACTCTATGGGACAGTTCTACTCTGTCCTATAGGGTCACTATGAGTTGGAATCAACTCGATGGCAATAGGCTTAGTTTTTGGATTTTATGTATATAAAGTACCAGATGCCTGGCACACATATTGATGAGACACCTGATAGTCATGTCTTGACAACTTACATGCCAGTATATACTATAAGAAAGACAATGCCTATAAGTGCACATGGGCAGGGAGGAAGACGCAAACACTTGTCAATCTTTTAGCAACACCACTTCCTAGGCCTTATCATGGGCTTCTGAGGAACTACAAGTTTTAGAATCACCACTATGCACATCAAGACCCTTGATATAATATTGGATCATGATGAGGCTGCTAAAATTAGGAAGAAAACTGAATATGAGAACTTGGGGAAAGCAGGAAATAGAAGGCAAAACATGAATATAATTAGGTTTGTTCTTGGAATTGATTCTGCATCCCGATGGAACATGGGTTTCTGAATATTTTTCAGAGTATCTTCCAGAAGCAGCCTCCCAGTACCTCATTAATATCACACATTTGTCATTAAAGTCTATATACTTTGGATCATATGTAAGAATCCCAAATAGTCCTCTTCCATTTACTACACCAACAGGACATGAAGGAAAATGGCTTTCACACTGTGCTGTTGAATAGCTCCTCAGTATCATTTTGGTAATCTTATCTACTTACTATTGAATTAAAAATAAAGTAGACACTGGCTTTTAAAAATTAGTCAAGTTTCATAGGATTTTATTTCACTAATTTACTGTGCACTGGGAACATCTTTAAAATCAGCATTTAAACTTTTGTGCTTAGTTTACAGAAAATGTTAGTTTATAGAAGTCCTTAATATGTTCTTCTCATTTTATTCATACTGGTTAAGAGTCCATATTATAGTGATGTTAGTCTTTAACAGATAAAAATACTTAGATGCTATGTTTATTTTAAGACTATTTAGAATTAACTGTAGATCTTGCATTAAAATAACAGTAAAAGGCACTTAGCATCATAACCAAACGAGGCAAAAAGTATATTCAGGTGCAAGTATAAGTGATCATTCACAGAAATGGACCTTGATTGAGGAGGCACTGAACTTGTAAACAAGTATTTGAGCAGAGCTCTATGTTTGTTTGGGAAAAAATGGAAAATTTTCTAAAATCAATGCTCTAGTTGCTTAGTTGTACCTATGTCTGGTCTGCTATCAGAAGACAATATAAATGTTGACTGATATTATGCCATCCACGAAAATACTATCATAAGATAACTGTCTGCAGCTGAATTCCTAACTAAATATAATGAATGAACATTTTTACTTTATTGAACTACGTCATTTTGAACAATACTTAAAGCTTGTTAATGTTAGCAAAAGTGATGGTTCCTCACAGATCTTAACACTTACCCATAACTTTAGAGTAGCAAGGTACACAGTGTATTGTCTGTCTATAAATCCAAATACTGTCACCTGCTTTTAGGTTTTCCAAAGGCTGTTTGCATATTTCACACTAAGGGAAACACAAAGCAATAGATAAAGTTTACATTATATAAGAAGTCTAGAATTGTAGAGTAGCAGGGGTAGAAAAGCTCTTTCAATGCATTCAGCACCATCCTCCTTAACAGCCCTGAGATGAAGCCTGAGGAAAAAACACAGGGAGACTGAAATCGTACTTGTCTACGACCCATGTGCCTAACTTTTCAAATAAGTTCTCACAGAATCTCCCTATCATGAAGGTACATTTCAGGGTATCTCTACCACCTGATATTTTCTATTTAATTCACATTGGAGCAGATGTAAATTTTCAAAAATTAGTTATGCCAAGAACAAGATCATTACTCAACATTTGAAACAAAACCATGAAGCTTTATTCATTGTTTATGTATGCAAGGGAGAGTTATGCTGTCCGGGTATAGCCTCACTGAGAAAAACAAACTGCTGATCTTACAAAGACCTAGGTGAAGAGTTTCTTTTGGTTTGCATTGGTTGCAGAAGCAGGAAAGGGTTGACTTGTGCCCACTGTTGATTGGCTGACTTTCAAAGCATGAGGCTGTCACTGGTTGGGTGTATTTTAGAGGTGTATTCACTGAAGCAAACTGTCATTGATAACTTTGACATATTTGAACCAGTCTGGTAGTTCTCCATTTCCATGTCTAGAGAACAATCAGGCTTTTCCTAGGAGTGTGGGAACTTTTTTTACTCTCACTTAATAGTATTTTATAATTAAATTGAAAATGGAAATGAATCCCTCAAAATGTGAGAAATGAAAATTATTCCAATTTACCAAAAGCAATGTTCAGGAGAATTTCCTTGTTTTAACATTCTTTCTGCATAACATTTATTTTATTGTGGTAAAATATATATAACAAAACATTTGCCATTTCAACCATTTTTACTTGTACAATTCAATGACATTAATTACATTCACCATGTTGTACAACCATCACTTCTACCCATTTCCAAATTTTCATCACCCTTAACAGAAACTCCGCGTCCTAAACAGTAACTTCCTCCTTCCCCTCCCACCCACCCCTGGTAACCACTAATACTCTTTGGTCTCTATACATTTGACTACTCTAGATATTTCCTATCCGTGGGATCTTTCAATATTTGTCCTTTTATGTCTGGCTTATTTCACTCAGCATAATGTTTTCGAGGTTCATCCGTGTTGTGGCATGTCTCGGAATGTCATTACTCTTTATGGCTGAATAATATTTCATTGTATGTGTGTACCACATTTTGTTTATCCGTTCATCTATTGATGGACAGTTGAGTTGTTTCCACCTTTTGGATACTGTGAATAGTGCTGCACTGAACATTGGTGTACAAGTATCTGTTTGAGTCTCTGCTTTCAAGTCTTTTAGGAGTGGAATTTCTGGGTCTGCATAATAATTTTAAATATAGAGCTATAAACTAAGTTTTGTTTAATTGAGTAAATTTGAATAACGAAAAGAAAGTAATTTCATTTTCTCATAATTATTCAATCTTCAGATTATATTTTAATACTTAATTCTATATTTTGTATATATGGATATTCTTTATAAAAGAATTCTATATTCTATTATATTTATAATTCTATATGTTTATGTTTAAATTGAATTCTATATAAAATTAGATTTTTTTGGCCCAAAATGAGGCATCATATTTTTTATTGCTTTGTGTCACTGTTTGAAGCTAATTGAAGAAGAAGCAATCAGTTGACAAAGTATTACATCTGCTTGGCTGAGTGAGATAATTGGAATGGATTATAGAATGTCTGCACTAGAAAAGACCCGTAGATCTAGGCAATTGGTTCTCAAACTGGCTGCACATTAGACTTACCTATAGAATTTTTAAGGAGCCCTGGTGGTGCAGTGGTTAAGAGTTCAGCTGCTAACCAAAAGGTCAGCAGTTCAAATCCACCAGCTGCTCCCTGGAAACCTTATGGAGCAGTTCTACCCTGTCCTATACGGTCACTATGAGTCAGAATCGACTTGATGGCAACGGGGGTTTTCAGGTGGCACAATAGTTAAGCACTCAACTACTAATAGAAAGGTTGGTGATTTGAATCCACCCAGCGGCTCCTCGGCAGAAAGACCTGGCAATACACTTCCAAAAAGATTACAGCCTAGGAAACCCTATAGGGCAATTCTACTCAGTCAAAGGGGGTACTATGAGTTGAAATTGACTTGATGGTACCTAAGAACAACAACACAGATTTTAAAAGGATCAGCATCCAGGAATTGTCTCAGATTCTTGATTTAATGAATCTGAGGCTGGTCCCAAGCATTGTCTTGTTTTCTAATCACCTCAGATGATTACATCGTGCAGCCAGGATTGAGAACCAGTGATCTAGTCAACTTCCCCCATGTTATACATAAGGAAATTGAGGCCAAGATAATTTAGGTGATTGTCCAAGGCCATACAGCCACAGTTAGTGGTATAGCCAGAGCTACAAATCTGGTCTTCTAACTTCTCATTCAGTCACATCAGCACCTATAATATATTGACACATCCAAAGCTATTGTAAGAATTAAAAGAAATAGCATCCGAAAGCACAGAGTATGAAACTTTCTACTAATGCAAGCTTCGTTACTACTGTACTAAGCTATAAAGAAGAAGCCCTGGTGGCACAACGGTTAAGCGCTTGGCTGTTAACCGAAAGGTTGGAGGTTCCAACCCACTCAGTGCCTCCAAGGGAGAAAGAGCTGGTAATCTGCTCCCGCAAAGATCACAGGCTAGTAACACCTATGGGGCAGTTGGCTCTGTCACACAGGGTCACGATGAGTTGAAATCGACTTGAGGGCACCCAAGAACAATAACTTACAATTACATATATAATTAATTATTATAATTAATGATACTCTCAAAAGCAGAAACGGAGTTTCAACTATTATTAAGCCCATCAGCAAGCACTACGTAATTTCATGATATAAGGATCTGCTAGCTGTCTTCTCAACAGTTTCTTTTCCTTTCTGGATTTCATTATATATTTTATGTAATAATGATTTATTAAAATGTCACAAAAGCTTTTATAAAGAGAACAAGTGTTTGTCTTTTTCACAGATTTGAAGCTCGAGAGTCAGAGGGAATAGATGTGTTAGTAATCAACCCTAAGACTAAAGCCAAGATAGTAATTACAAACCTTTGAGGTTCAGACTGCAAAATGTCAGGAGATATTTAAGCACTACATTATTAATGAGGATGATAGTGTTTCTGAAAGCTTTAACTTCATCCCAAGTATTTCACTAAACAATTATTTTTATTCCAGTCATCATGCAGTGTTATATTTAGTTAAATGAAATAAACGCACCCTTACCTTAAAGCAGGTGGAGTGGCAGCAAATTTGTAATTCTTCTAAGATCATTTTAGCTTCTATGCCCAAGGGTTTTCGGCAGTAAGTGCACATATCTCTTTCAATGACAGACCTATAGAGACATAATCAATTGAAGAAATAAATCTGTCATTGTATAAATGACAGACGTATTTCCCATAAAATCGTGTGGAAATGGTAAGTTAGCTTTGATGATACTTGAAGAACTTGCGCAAAATCAAGGAAAGTTTGGGGTTTACTTATTCTAGTAATAAGATGGAGTTTTGTCTAGTTATCTCAAAATGATGTCAAAGAATTCATATCTGGGAAAGTCTCAAATTGTTAATTCATCAGCAATCAAGAGTGCATCTGGGGCAGCACAGAGATGTTCACAGCTTCCTACTTGAACTAAGGAATAAGTACTCCTTGAAGCTGGATGGGTTTTTTAATTATTAATTTACATGTATCATTTTACAGATTACATGAAAAAATTATGCTGAATAGTAATATAAATTTTTAATTCTCAAAATATTCAATAGATCAAAAATAGAAATTCATTCAAGAGTATGCTATTAAATTCACAGATGATGGGTCTGTAATACCCTAGGCTCTCGGCTCTAGAATCACCAAGACATTACCCATAATAACTTCTCTTGGTGTCATTACAAGACTCAGAATATTGGGCTACTTATGACAAAATTATATTTTCCAAGGAAATACAACTGGGCCATAAATTTGATAGTGGAAAAAGAGTTTTTTTTTTTTTTTTTTAATTTTGGAAAAAAATGTCCAGTGGTAAATGAACTATAGCTGTGATCATCAGAGTCCTAAATACTTTGCATCATACCAGAGCCTCAAGAAAGGCCAACAAATGTTGGACTGTTTTCCTTTTGGAAGGTTTTAGGATTAAATCTTGCAGAGTTTACTAGGTTTGGGCCTGAAATTTCCAAAGTAGGATATATCATGAGGTGGCAAGATAAAAATAAGACAATACTTATATAGTGTTTAATATGTGCCAAGCATTTTTCCATGTTCTTTACTTTCATAAACTAATTCTTGGCAAAAGAGGTGGGTGCTATCATTTTTATCATCATTTTGCAGAAGAGGAAATACAGAACACAGAAGGGTAAGTAACTTGCCCCTGTCACACAGTGAACAGTAGAGCCAGGATTTGAATGGAGATGACTTGGCTCCAGACTCCCAGTGCTGCCCCGGGGCCTGCTATGAGGTCTATTGGGATCACGGTGTTGAAATAAGTTACCTAGGAAGCGGAGAGGAGAAAAACTGGAAGGGACTCAAAGGCAGGAAACAAGGGATTAGAGGAGATAAACCTTATCTGGCCTTAGCCTTTCAGTCATTCTAGTAAACTCTTCCTAACCTTTATGAATATAAATAAATATTTCCCTCTTTCAATAAACTCTATAGCTACTTGCTTATAGATTCCTGGCAAATATTTTCCTACGGATTCCTCATATGCATACATATATATCTACACACACACACACAAGCCCAGTTTCCCCTTTAAGACTGTAAGCAATTCCAGAGTGGAAAACAGGTGCCCTTTATCATTTATCCATCCCATAGGTGCTGGGCTAGGAGCTGGGAATACAAACAAGAGTAAGGCAGTTGAGAAACTTTCTTTCCACTGGGGGAGGCAGATGTGAGATTTGATGATCATAGTATAATATAAATATGTGGCAAGGATTAGGAGAGCACAGCCAGAGAGCAACTAATCCTGGGATGAAGTCAGGAAAGGCTTCTTAGAAAAAGCATCATTGAGTTAAATCTTGAAGAAGGAGCTCTCCAGGTGGGCTCAGAGAGGTGGGGTGGGGTATGACGGAGGAAATCCAAGCAGAGTGAACAGGATGGACAAAAGATGCCACATAGTAAAGGCATTTGGATTGGTTGGGCATTAGTCAATATTCAGCGGGACCAGGTTGTGAAGGCCCATAGAGAGTGCACTAAGGAATTTGGTGTTTATCCTGTAATCAATGGGAAGCCACTTAAAGGGGATTGGCTTGCTTACAGAAGAGCTGTGGGGACATAGCCAATTTCACACAATAATCAACAGCTGGACTGATTGGACTTAACAGAGGATTGACTTTTGTGCTAATGACTAAGAAAAATTTCAAGGACCACCTTAAGAACCGGACTGAAATACTTCATCTTAACAGCTAAATTTTTATGAGGAATATTTCCCTCCTTAACAATAAAAATACCAGCCTAGGGAAAGCTCTGAAGATTGTTAAAAAATTGTAAGTTTTGCCTCATGAAAATATAAAGAATTCTCTTACCCATGACACTAAAGACAGTCTTGTTAAATGTTGTTAAAAATCTATGCAGTCTAAGAAATAATCTTTTAGCTATGCTAAAAACTAACCTTTAAAAGTAGCTAGGTGACTAGGCCCACTGAAACCAGAAAGGCAGGTTTCATTATTCATTAACTTTCACTTAAACTTATTCTTCCAGAAAACAATCAAAATTAATAAACACATCTTGTTTTCAAGATTAATAAATATATCCTGCTTTCAAAACTAATGAACATATCCTATTTTCAAGATTGATGAAAATATCCTGTTTTCAAAACTTTAGGGGTCTTGTAACCAAGACTCACTGATCTTGTCATTGTCTTGTAACTGTTTAGAAAAGTTATGTATATGTCAACCAATCAGAAATTTTTTCAAAAGTTCCTGATAACTTTGTCTAAGAGCACTTTAAGAATCCTAACTAATCGGAGCACTCACTGATTAGGTGCCCAACTTAAAAATTGTCTATTAAACCTGCATAGCAATCTAGTAATGGTGTTTTCAGTTGTTTATTATTTGATAAGACCATACCATTAATCAAAGGTCTTTTCAAAACATTAGGTTAGACCTAGCTCTTTTGATTTTCTAGACAGTACTCCTAGTTCTGTCTACTACTTGTGTAGGTGACGTAAAGAGGTGTGACTTAAAGGTAAGACACTCAGCATAGCATGGGTAATGAGCAAGACCTTGTAAAAGTGACAGACATGGGACACACTTTTGATGTCTGGCCCATGTTTCCCTTAGCAAATGGGACATATGTTCATTTTTTCCAAAAAAAAAAAAAAAAAATTTACTGACCACCTGTTAGGTGCCAAGCACTGCATTAGAAGCTGAGGCTCTATATAAAAATAAATTATGTCCTTACCCTCAGTGAGCCACATTTCCAACCCCTGCTAGAGATAAACACCATCAAAGGAATACTGGGCGTTTCCATTGCTCCTGGTTTCCAAATATATAATGCTAATTGTGTATTTTCATTTCCTCCAATGGAAAATTCCAGGCCACACTCCCATAAGTGTCACCTATGTGCCCCACCGAACATTAAACAGTAAAAGAAGATCATCTACAGCAAAAGCCTGGAATGGGGCCAATTTACCAGCACTGAATCGATACTTTTTGTAACCCTACTCCAGGGAACTGAGCTTGGGATGAGAACAGGTCATAGTAGCATATCCAAGCAGCTGTTTGTAAGGTGAACTGGCTTTGAAGAACCACAGGGAGAGAGGGCTGAAGCCAATTTAGTGATGTAGTGAAGCCTAGATGCTAATGATGTGGTGCTACTGAGGACTCCTGGGAATCACGAACAGCCGAGGAGCTGGCCTGGGAGGCAGCTGGAAAGCACAGAAAGGTCTTTTGGAAAACAGTGCATCAAAATCAAGGAGTAGCAACAGCCAGAAAACAAACTCCTGGACGCAAAGGTTATAATGAGTTGCACTTTGCTCCATTCACACACATATAAAACAATCACCATGGGGACTGCCACCTCCAAGCACCAAGGACAGCAAGAATATACATACTTTTATGTACAAAACATACATATATATATACTCACTTATCAGAAGTTGAATAAACAGTTTGAATGTATTTTCCAGAGATATCCAGATATACATCCTTTGGTGATTTACTAGAAATAAACCATATGGATGTGTGAGAATCGGGCTATTTTCCCCAGTATTGATGTATATATAAGGAAATGCACATATGCCCTCATACGGTGCATTATTATTTTTCATTGTGATGTTACATGCCAAGACAAGGTACTGGCACCTTTTCTTTCCTTTTTTTTTTTTTATATCTGGAAAAGTATTCATACACAAGCTACCTCTGAGGCGACCTATCTGTCAAAGTATATCTAACCAGTTGTCATCGAGTTGATTCCAGCTCATGGCGACCCCACGTGTGTCAGAATAGAATTGTATTCCACAGGGTTTTCAACGGCTGATTTTTCAGAAGTGGATCACGAGGGCTTTCTTCTGAGGGTACATCTGGGTGGACTCGAGTCTCCAACCTTTTGGTTAGCAGCCAAGAGCCTTAACTGTTTGTACCACCCAAGGACTCTCTCAAAGTATAAAGAGAAGAGGATAAGGAATGTAGGAACAAGTGTAAGTGGGGAAAAAAAGCTGTAATTGTCATGAAATTTATACTGTACCTCACTTATTTACTAAAAGAAGGCTAGATGTACTCTAACATAGATATATGGAATACGTAAAACACTAGCCAGTGCCAGCACCCCCACACATACACCATTCACAGGGAGACACAGAGACTCTGGGCCTTACAGGCAGAAGTATAGAAAGTTTTATTTTTACTTAAAAACATCCAGTAAAGAACAATTTAGAATGAAAGCAAAAAGAGTGTAATGTTTTAATAGTCCCCTTTTTTCCATTTCTTAGCTTATCCCAGTTTGTAAATGTCTCTGTTTCCTAGAGACAAACAAAATCAGCAATGCACTTCACTGGCTGCTCACCGTTGCTTCCCAAACACTCATGCTACCTGGGAGTATATTAGGACTGGAAGCAATATGTTACTATTATTTCATACAGTGAGTGATAGCTCTACAGCCCTCACTTGGATTTTGTAAATAAGAAATCTCTCCTTCCCTTCAAATTGCCCTTGTGCAGACTGCTGTCAGAAATGAAATTCATTTCATGAAATACGAAACCCCTGCAAGGCTAAATAAGACTTTGCACATAGTAATGCACAAAGTATCTATCATTACCCACATTTTACAGATGAGGAAACTGAGACTTGAAGAGATTAAGTAGCTTTACCAAGGTCATGTGGCTGGTAAATGACAAACAAGCATTCAAATTCAAATCTGATTCCAGGCCATGAGGTCTCTTGATTATACTGCACTGTCAGACAGTGATCAGATTTTTAAGGAAGTCAGGGATGTCTGAATTGCATCACCGTCCTTGTTAGGTTAACGTATAGGAGGGCAACCAATCCTTTGAGTTTTCTGGTCTACAGTCTACCGGCCTGCTAAGCCCTAATATTACATTTTATACGGATGGTTCTCAGACTTGACTGTGCATCAACTGGTTGTTGGGGTGTGCTGTGGAGTCAGTTCCGACTCCCAGCAACCCTACAGGACTGAGGAAAACTGCCGCGTAGGGTTTCCTAGGCTGCAATCTTTATGGGAGCAGGTCACCAGGTTTTTTCTCCCACGGAGCACCACCAACCTTCCCAGCCTTCCGGTTAACAGCCTAGTGCTTAACCATTGTGCCACTAGGGCTCCTGAGAATCACCCAGAGGGCTTGTCAAAATACAAATTGCCTGACCCCACCGGCAGACTTTCTGATTCAGTAGGTCTGCAGTGGGGTCAAAGAATTCTTATTTCTAATAAGTTCCCAGGTGAAGCTGATGCTGCTGGTCCAGGGACCATATTTTGAGAATTACTGTTCTGTATAATTCTATTCAGCATGATCATGACTTTATTTGGGAGACATTGGAATCAATATAGTCAAAAATAGACTAAAATTCACTACAGTCAAAAGAATAAAGTACAGTCATCATAGTAAAATAATTTAGGCATGTTTTATTCTTGACACTCCTATGAATCAAGTTAATATTCTTTTATTCATTTATTCAATAAATTAAAAGATTAGACTATTATGGTAATAGAATATTTCTAAATCTAAAAAAATAATTACTCTTTATTAAACATTTCAGTATTGTGGTTGTTTGGCATTAGTTCCCATGAGACCAACTTCTTTAAAAAGCAAAATGTATCGGTGTGATATCCCACAGAGGTGAAAATATGTGACAGAGGTGATTATGTGAATGTAGGATACCTGTCTATGTTATTCTTATTCTAGCTGCCAATATTTGGTCTTTTGCTTTCACTATAATATTATTATGGTACTACCTACCTAGCTATCAATTTCTTTCAGACTTAGTAACTACTTGATATTTTAAAATTTACTCTAAAATTTTTTAACTTTTAGTGAAATTAAAAGACAGCAGGAATCACTGTCTTGAACACAACAAAGAGTGAGAATTAGATTGAGGAGAAAAGTCAATTTTAGGGTTGTATTTTACAACATAAGTTATGTCCGGGTTTGAGGAACACTTTTTTGGAAGTTTGCTCACCTTCTGACAAGTACTGAATTTCCTGGAGCTTCCTCAGGCCCCCCTCTCCACAGGAGGCTTCCCTGAATATTTGCTCTTTGGTGCTTTGTGAAACGGGCTCTCATTAACACCTGTCAGGAATATTCCCGCATTTGTGTGCCCTCCATTATATCACCCCACAATTAGGCTAATTCTTGTTACAGTAAAACCTGCAAAAGCTGAGGAACTTGTGTAAGGTGGAAACCTGTCAGAGAAGGAAAACTCAGATAGGTCTCACTAAATAATGATAGTCAAGTGGGGACTGCACTCTGCCAAAGGTGGAAAACCTTTGAGGTCTAGAAATACAAGGCAGTCCCGTCAAGTTCCAGCTGTCACAGTTTTCACTACATTAACTGAAAAATCAAACCCACTACCGTTAAGTCAATTCTGACTCATAGGGACCCTACAAGGCAGTGTGGAATGGCCCCATATGGTTTCCAAGGCTGTAAATCTTTATGGAAGCAGACTGCCACATTTTTCTTCTGAGGAGCAGCTGGCGGGTTCCAACCGCCAAACTTTTGGTTCGCAGCCGAGCACTTTAACCACTGTGCAACCAGGTCTCCTCCCCCCCCACCTCCCCACCCCCCCACTATATCATGCTCCTTGAAAACCTGAAAACTGAATGGATTGTAAATCCTTGACGTTGGCTGACATTTCCCTCAACACCTGTAATTTGGGCCAGAGTATCAAAATTATCTCTTACTTCAGATTAGAGGCAAGAATGGCAAATAGAAGCGTTTGACTAACGTTGGACTTCAAACTAGCATGGGAATATTTGTGTAACTTTATGAAGCTTATTATAAGTATGTAGGCATATAAGTTTATATAAAAACTTTTAAATGGCCCTGTGGTGCAATGATTAAGTGCTTGGCTGCTAATGGAAACGTTGGTGGTTCAAACCTACACAGCGCCTCCTCTCAAGAAAGACCTGGTGATCTGCCCCCGTAAAGATTACAGCCTAGAAGACCTATGGGGCAGTTCTACTTTGTCACCTGGGGTCGCTATGATTTGGAATCTACTTGATGACACCTAACAACAACAATCCTATTACATATACATGTGTTACATTGAAATATTATTTACTTGATTATTTATCAACTACTTAATATTGGAAACATTACAAACAATTATACACCTAGAACTCAATATATGCTTAAATGATTTTCTGTTTGAAAGAAGCATACCTAAAAACAATAGTATCCTTTCTTAAACACAGGTCGTTTCAAAATAAAATAAATGCAGTAAAATATTTGAAATAAAGTTCCAATACCTATTCTCCACATATGTCCTTGTATACACAGCAGTATCCTTCGGTCCTCCATGCCTCGTTCCAACAATGGAGCTGCAGTACAAACCATTTTACTTGATATTTAAAGATTACTTACAAGGATAGGAAAAACAAGGCTGTTATCCAGTTTATTGCAAAAAAAAAAAAAAAAAAACCCCACAATGCTGTGTATATTTCTTCTATAATTTTTGAAATATAAATGTCGGTTGTATTAATCCAGTTTGCAAAATTTCTTCATTTTATGCTCCTATTTTGTTCTTAACTTCCACTGTCTTGGTCTACTTCCAGGGTATTATTATGAAAATTGGTCACTCAGGGTATCTGTTGTAGAGCACGTAATATGTTTTAGTGCCTGTTTCCTTGATGTTCCTTTCATTTTTCTAAACCATAACTTTCCCCACAAATCTCAAACAAAAAGTGGACCTTAATGAACTATCATGACAATATGTGATTTAATGAAGCCTTTTAGAACTACCTAAAGAATGTCAAAGGAGCAGTGGTTAAAGAACTCAGCTGCTAACCAAAAGGTCAATGGTTTGAACCCACCAGCAGCTTCGCAGGAGAAAGTTTTGGTAGTCTGCTTCCAGCTTTGGAAGCCCTATGGGGCAGTTCTACTCTGTTCTACGGGGTTGCTATGAGTCTAAATCAACTCCGTGGCAATGAGGGAAAGAATGTCAACATCAATGTCACAATCATGATTTATATAAATATGAAATGGAGGTCCTTATTCTTTTAATAGTGTGTTTGGGAAAATCAGAATCTACTCAATGACAATGGTTAATTGATTGGGAAAAATTTGGTATATCTAGTCTTTTCGTAAACATTTTTTATAAGAATCCCCTTCCTAATCTTTGTTACTAAGTGGAATTACCACCTTTATGATGCTCTGTTTTATTTTCTCCTTCTGAGAACACAGAATAAGGCAAAATATCATTTATCTTTAAAAAATATTTTTTACCAAATATGTATGAACGTTTTAGGGAAAACACACGTTTTAGTTACATATTTTATACTTTCAGATCCAGATGTCACAAGGTGACAAAGACCAACATGATAATCCGCGACTTTTTGTAAGGCTGTTTATATATAACCCCTGATCAAATTGGAAATTTCTTCATTTCAAAAAAAAGGGTGAGGTCACATTTTGGATGCTTTTTAAAAACAAAGGGAGAGTAGTCCCGTCATTTGTTTTGTAACTGACCACAGTACCTGAGATTGTTCCTGGTTTCATAAGAATAGGCAGTGGTTCCAGTAGACTGGCTGTTCAGTGCATTGATGGAACCATGGACTTGCCCATTTAGCCTGAAAAAGCAAACACAAATATTTGGCACTGAAAATCAAGGCCACTTAAACGGTTTTTTTCGTGTTATTAAATTTTTGCTCAATTAATATTATTTTACGTATTGTGACCCTCTTCATGTTTGCTTGGTTTCTTCACAGGTACACACATAGAATATTTATACTATTTTATTCCCTCCACAAAACCACAGTCTTACCTTTAAGATTACAGTCATGTGCCACATTGTAGAATACCTTTTTATCAAGGGAAGAAACCAACTGAAATTGGCCGTAGTAACATTGTCACAGCAGCAGTGCCATTTTAGAGAGCTTTCCATGTGAAATATATCTGAAAGTTTATCAATTTAACAAAAATAATCCAGAGGTTGCTTTGAGAAATTCTACTTTCCATTTGGTTTTTAATAAAAGGCAATACTTTGAAGATAGCAGAAGAACTCTGACCTAGATCTCAGCTAATCTGTCACTATGTTTAACAAAGTGTAGGCATATTTAGCTTTTCCCTATGAAGCAGAAGAAACTCTTATGGAAGAGTAGTGAAAATGTTAGCTCCTACTCCTCCTCCATGTTCGTAAACTCTGTTATAGGAGAAACATGAAAATCCACAGGGGAGCCTAGATCTAAATCATGCCGGTCATTTTCAAACAGGCTATTACTTCCATTTCTAGGTAGCTCTTAAAAGAAAAGCAAAACGTTCGTTCACGTATTATCTCTGGAATACAGAAAATAATCTCCTGGTTTTAAGATAGATATTTCACAAAACATACAGCTCTGTTAAAATGATACTAAATAGTGAGAAGGTGGAATTAACATTATTGGAAGATTAGACCAATATGATTAGTAGAAAATGTCATTCCAGGAATAATAAGCCTAGCTAGGAATTGACTGGAAATACTCAAATCCTCTATTATACAACATAAAACCCAACTTTAGCTAATAGATAGCTTCGAAGGGCAGAGGTTATCAATGAGCTTGAAGTGTGTTTGCTTTGTGCTCAGCAATGTAAAATCAAATATTGCCAGCTTGCAAAATCTGCAAACAGGAGAGGGAAATAATTTGCCAACAGTACCATTTCCTAGTTGCGTTTATAATGAGATTTATGACAAAGGCTTCATGAAAGATTTAATTTTTATAATTGTGAATAAAAAACAAATGCTAGAAAATAAATTTATAATACGGAACAACTTTGACAGATTTTTCCTTTCATGTAGGTTTTGAGGGTGATAGGTTTTTGTTTTTTTTTTAAATTAATAAACATTTATTTTGGAGTATTTTAGATTTATAGAAAAATTACAGAGATAATACTGAGAGTCACTCAGCTTCCCATTGTGCTAACATCTTATATAACCATGGTGCGTTTGTCAAAAGTAAAAATTTGTATCAGTGCAGTAGTATTAACTAACAGTATTGGGATTTCACCAATTTTTCCACTGACATTTCTTTTCTGTTCCAGAATTCAATTCAGGATGTTACATTTCACTTAACCACCATGTCTCTTTTGTCTCCTTAGGTCTCTGATGGTTGTCAAGTCTTTGTTTTTCATGATACCAGGTTGGTTTTAGAAAGAAAATTCTACTTGAATGCCAGTAAGTGGTAACACTTGTGTATTATTATTTACACAATAATGCACAGAACCATAGAAATAGAGTTGGAGAAACAACGTTGGCTACCAATGGAATAACCTGCAGTAGTTTATAAAATGCTGATATCTGGGGCTCACATCCAGATATTGTGATTTAATTGATTTGGGGATACAGTTTGGGCACTGGGATTCTTTTAAACCTCTCCAGGGAGTCTCACATACAGTCAGGGTTGAGAAGCACTGCCTTAGAGTTTGGGCAGTTCAACATCTTACCCAACAGAGCAGTTCTTAAAGTGAGATACCAGGAACAGCATCGTCAGATCACCTGGAAACTTGTTAGAAATGCTAGTTCTCGGGCCTCACTTCAGATCTACTGAATCAGAAACTCTGGGGGTGGGGCCCAGAAATCTGTGTTTTAATGAGCTCTCCAGGTGATTCTAGAGTCCCTGGGTGATGCAAATGGTAACATCTTCGACTGCTAAACAAAAGGTTGGATGTTCAAGTCCACCCAGAGGTGCCTCAAAAGAAAGTCCTGGCGATCTGCTTCCAAAAAATCAGTCAGTGAAAAATCTTATGAAGCACATAGTTCCACTGTGACACTCATGGGGTTGCCATAAGTTGTAATCATCTTGATGACAATTTTTTTTAATCCTATCGTTAGGTGGTTAAACATGTATTATGTATCCTTAAAATGTGTGAAATGGCTACATGAAATTTATTTCACTCATAATCTCTAATCATCAAGTTTTGGGAAAGACTCCATTAGTTAGAACTCAGACAAAAGCATTTAAAGTTATTCCTAATAAATCAAATTTCCTTGGTCATACAAGTGACTACATAAAGTAAATGCATTCATAAAATGAGTAAAGTCTTAGTTTAGCAGATTGGCCCAAGACTCTTACTTAGATTTCTCTTGCCTTGTTAAATTAACCTTAGCAACCTGAAATTAAACAGCCTATAAACCATCCATATCACTGCAAAAGTTTATAAATCTCTTTTGCATAAAGATTAAAACTTGTTAAAAGCTTACAATTTGGAATTGTTCTGTACATTAGGGTTTACTTCTATAAAACTGTCAGCGTCTTGGGTGCTTGTAAAATTTATAAATATAAAATGGGTTCATGGCCCAAAAGCAGGTAAGAGCCCCTGAACCAGGCCTAGGCACTGTATTATTACCTGTTTTTACAAATATAAAATGTAAAAAAAAAAAAAAAGGACTCTATGGTAGAAAAATAAGGAGCCAATAAAGGCTTGACTGCTAACCAGAGGTTGGGAGTTCAAACCACCCAGCGGCTCTGAGTAAGAAAGAACTGGCAAGCTGCTTCCATAAAGATTACAGCCAAGAAAACCCTATGGGGCAGTTGTACTCTGTCACATGGGATCCCTATGAATTAGAATCAACGTGATGGCCCCCAACAACTGTAGAAAAATAAGCAGAGGACTTGAAGCAGGAACACCTGTGTTCGTTCTGTCCCTCGAATTTACTAACCTTCTGACCCTGATCAAGTCTCTTAATCTCTGATCCTCAATTTGCTCTTCTATACAATATCTACTCATTTTGGTCCTCAATTTTTCTTCTGTGAAATTTCTACCCATTTTGAAAGCCAAGTGAAATTTTCCTTTCTGTAGTCAGACTACATGAATCCAGAAATTGAGGCCAGAGATTTCTTTCTTTTCCACCCTTAAATTTTTATTGCAGTTAGAACAACTGTTGGTGTTGGAGTGGAAGTTACATTAACCATTTAATTTGTAGATAGCAGAACAGTGAAAACTAACAACCATATGGGATTTGATAGAAATGGAAAAGAAATGAATACTTCCTGCAAAATCACACCTATATGGGGTTGTAATAGAACTGAAGGAGAAACAGATCCCTCCTGGAAATAAAGCCCAGAGATCAACAAATGGTTTTGTAGTGGTGGTGGTCAGAGGCTCTGGAAGTTGTAACCGAATGTGATGTGAATCACCATTCCACTGGGGACAGAGTGGTGGGTTTGTGATTGTAGATCTTGTACATGATCATTGCATTATGTCAGGCAGGAGGCACAGATGAAACTGCCGGAAGGGGAGTGTGTGTGCATTATAGTCAATCAAGGTGTTTTCCATGTCTACACCATCTTCTATGCAGACTGTCACACCCACACTGCCGAAGGAGGCCAGTGAGACCAAGGAAACTGGAAAGCAGTAAAACTCTGAGTTATCAAAAAGATACAGAGTAGAGAATGAGGAAGCCAATAGGTAAAGGAAAGAGCCAGAACAAGACAGGCAGGCAGAAATCCACACTCAAGGGGTAGCTGGGTGATGTTAATGACAAAGAAGTAGGGTTAATGTACAAACATATCTGATGCTAAGGATTCTAGAACTGCCTTAGGTCATGAATGAACAACCTTCCATTTCAGGCCTCTATGAGGCTGGGCCATGCCATCATTTCTGCTCTTGAATTTCCATGAAATTCATCTCCTCATTAATCCTTCATTTAAAATCCCATTTCATAAATAAGCCCAACTGAAACTTGAGCACCTCTCAAATCATATTAGATGAGAAGTTCCTTAATTATACATTATCATTTACTTGTAATTTTTTTTTTACCTCCATCCCTTCCAAATATTATTCGAACCATATTGGTTAGTTGTAAGTCTAGCCCTATTCCCAAAACAATGAATTTTTTTTAAGATAAATAGATCTTACTAAAAATTTATCCTCCCTCATTCTATCAAAGTCTTCCTGGGGATCAGGAAAAAGAGGGAAAGAAATGATCTGAGGAATTAAGAGGATAGAAAGAAGCTATCACCTGTTAGATGCAAAAGCTTTTTATTGGTATTATGAAAAAAAAGTGAGCCAACTCTTTTTCTAGCGTTTCCCCTATCTTCATTCAGTATCAGCAATATTATTTCCTTACATAAAAAATCATTTAAAAAAGAATAGCCATTTGCACTTTTGCAATTAGGAAGATAAAAAAATAGAAACTTTTTTTTTTTTTTAGGGTTTTCTCATATGTTGGGGGAGGGAGAAATTGCTAAACATGGAAAATTTATTAACTCCTTCCTGATTTAAACAGGTTATAAAAATAATGAAGCATAGCTTCTATTCTAACCTTCCTTGTAAAGCCAAACAAGGTACAACATTTTTAAAGCTATTATTATACTCTGTTGTGTAAAGCAATTTCAAAATTAGGTCCTGTTTTGTAGCTGTGATGAATTTGTGCATTCCTTTAGTACTAGATATCCAAGGGAGAGATTCTCAGAGTTCTTGATACACTGCTGAAAACCTACCAAGCAACAGCAAGTAAAAATAAATTTTCACCACCCAAGTGAGAAGCTTTGAATTTCCATGATGCCGTTTACACTAAGCAATAGAGCAACAGGTCCTGTGTCAGAAATTCTAACAGAGTTAGAAGTTTGTTAATTGTTTTCTCCATATTAGCTACTAAGCACACTATACCATTGTTCTTTGTATTTGGATAGTATTTATGGATAAATATCGTAATACAATTCAACTCCACAGAAAATCTTCTAACAGTATATAATTTATACAGGTACATGTGGAATTTATAAGAAAGAAAATTATAATAAGTCTTACCTTCCATTCTTATTTTCAGACACATTGGAATTTACTTCAGTTAAATTTTCCAGGTCCTGGTCTCTATAAAGGAAGAAAAAAAAAAAAAAACCACATACACACACAGCTATAGATAGATAGATAGATAGGTAGATAGATAAACTTAGTTATAAAATAAACAAATATTAAGATTAAAAATAAAAAGAATCAGTACATAATCTTAGACATAGTCATTATTTGTAGTTAGTCTATAAGGATATGGGCCATTGGAAATCTGGCATTGAGCTATTTGATCTATACAGCTTGAGTATGAGATCATGGATTATGCTATGAGAGACATAAAGAACTAATTCTTCGGAAAGATTGAGAAATCTGGTCTGAAAAGAAACAGCTGATTTATATCCACATTGAGCTAACATTTAATGAATACAAACTTTTGTCACGAAGTACAAACACTGGGTAGTTTCACATGGATTATCTCATTCAGATCTCACAAAATCCTGCAGGGCAGTACCAGAGGCTCAGATAGGATAAGTGACTTTTCCAAGGTCAATTAACTAATTTGTGGAAAATTCAAGATTTAAGCTGCCCCAGAGAAAATCAATTCTTAGATGTTGAATTAGAGACTTCATTTGGGCTTTTTAGATCACAGAAAAATAAGAGGTGAACCCAAAATTTGAATAAACAATTCATGATGAGGAGGATACATGGGAAAATTAGATTCTTAAATTTTGGGTTGCATGAATGAGTTGATACCCTTTCATGAGACACAATATCCTCTGGTATGTTATTTATACACTACTTATTTATATATTTAACGTAACGCTGATTTGTTTTGAACCAACGGAGTTCATGACACCTCTTTCCAAACTCATGAGAAAAAAACTAAAGCTTTGTTTAGGAGGCAGAACAATAAGGCCCAGCTTACCCCACTTTGGAGCCCCGGTGGTGCAGGGGTTAAGAGCTATGGCTGATAACCAAAAGGTCGGTTTCAATCCACCAGCCGCTCCTTGGAAACCCTATGGGGCAGTTTTACTCTGTCCTATAGGGTCACTATGAGTTGGAATCGACTCAACGGCCACAGGTTTGGTTTGGTTTTTTCCTCCCCACTTCTTCCTTAGGCAAGTTATTCAACATCTCGGAGCTTAGTTTTGTAAATTAGGATAATAACATCAAATCTCATAAGGTTGTGGTGAGAATAAATTAATTGATGCAAAGAAAACTGGTAGCACAATTGCTACAGTTGTGGATTAACTGAAAAAGCATATGATAAATTATTGTTAATGGAAGTGTAGCAACTCAGCAGTAGGCAAGGTAACAGTTCAGGCAGCACCAGCATAGACCAGAGTGCTATTTGATTCCACCATTTTGAAGGATGGCTTTTTCATTTGTATTTCTGTCATGGATTGAATTGTGTCCTCCAAAAGTATCTGTCAACTTGGCTGGGTCATAATTCCCAGTACTGTATAATTGTGTACCATTTTGTAATCTGATGTGATTTCCGTATGTGTTGTAAATTCAATCCCAATGATCTAATAAAATGGATTAGTGGCAGTAATACAAATGAGATCTACAAGATTAGATTAGTGTCTTAACCCAAACTCTTTTGAGATATAAAAGAGAGAAGTGAGCAGAGACACATGGGAACCTCATACCACCAAGAAAGCAGTGCCAGGAGCAGAGCATGTCCTTTGGACCTGAGGTTCCTGCACAGACAAGTTCCCAGACCAACAAAAGACTGATGTATCACAAGGACCTTTCTCCAGAGCCGACAGACAGAGAAAGCCTTTCCCTGGAGCTGATGCCTTGAATTTGGACTTGCAGCCTCCTGGACTGTGAGAGAATAAACTTCTCTTTGTTAAAGCCATCCACTTGTGGTATTTCTGCTAGAGCGGCACTAGGTGACTAAGACAATTTCTGTCCTAACTTTTCACATCTTTGGAATTAACTCTAGTTCTTATAAATCTCTCTTCTCATAGTCTTAAATAGTGGAGTTAAATAAGATTATAGGCTCACCTAACACATTCATTTATCATGCACAGAATCACTATACAGGCTCCTACTCATAAAATTAATTGTCAGTAAGGATGCAAAATATGATAAAAATGTTCTTATGTGTATGTGGAATGATATTTAGTTAATACTCTTTTTATATAACATTTGAGCCATCAATAATTGATAAAATCCACCAATTGGGCAACATCCCATGACCATGCTTTTAAAATACTAGCTGCACACTTTTGAAAATGTAGAAATTAGGATAAATTATTTTTTAATGTGAGTTACTGTGGAAAATATGTCAATTAGTGTTTGTTTAAAAAATAGGATTTCAGAAGTAGCTCAGAAGTGTCAAAATCATTTATTCTGCAGTATAATGATTAAAATTTAAAGCTGAATTCCTAAAGATAACTGCTAGAATTTATATAAGGAAACCTTGCAGCTCACATCCTTCAAATTTATAAAGTTAGACGGGCTTTTGGATTTGCCTAATCCCTGATGTTCCCTCACTAATAACTAGAGCGACCTTCTTGGCCTCAGGGGTCACGCTACTATCTTAATAACCTAGCCACTAAGTGATCCTCTCTTTAACATTTTAAATAATGTTTTATAAGTACTTGGGGATAATGGAACAAAATTAAATGAAGTATCATACTATTCCATAATCCAGTTTCCTGGAAATACCAAACTAGGATGGTTGATAGTGGTAAATAGTAAGAGATTACCATGAAATAGGAATCTGAAGAACTAAAATCTTGTCCTGTGGAGTGATTTTCTCCCCACTGTTAACGTTGGAAGTCTAAACGCTATTTTTTAAGGAAGCTGGTGTTTTCATTACAGCCTGAGTGTAAGGTCACATTATCAGGGGCTAACATGACCTTGCAAAAGAAAGACCTGGCAATCTGCTTCTGTAAAGAATACAGCCGAGAAAACCCTATTGAGCAGTTCTGGTCTGTAACACATGGTATTGCCATGAGTTGAAATCGACTCACCAGCAATGGGTTTTTTGGTTTTAACATGGCCTTGCATATAATAGCTGCTGCATGAATACTTGTGGAATTAATTAAATCATCTTTTTCTCCTTCTCTGAAGGAGATCAATTACTACCTCACTTATTTTTGAGAAAAGATATTAAAGGGGCTCCAAGGGAAGATGTCAGCCTAGACCCTAGAACCTTTAAGGAAGTCAGCTCCATTCCCATCTAGACACATAATGGGCACCACATAGGAAAAGATCAGTAAAGCTAATTATGGACACTTCTTCTCCATTTGTGACAATCACCCAGGGCTCGCCTTACTTTAGCCCTGAATTGTACATATTTCTCTCTTTTTGCACAGCTCTCTGGCTTTCGCCCTTAATTTTAGATCTGCTCCTGCCCTCACAACATAATTATGATCAGTTTCTGAGCCTGTTGAGGGACATCCTCCCTTCCTCAGGCACTTCCACTCCTGGTTGCTGCAGATACCGCATCTTTTCTCTGCCCACACCTTTTCTCCTTCTTCCAGGACCCAAACCCTTTTGGACCGTAGCTGTTGTGAGGGAGAGCAGGAAAGGGCTTGGACTTAAGAAAGGAAAAGTCAGAATCTTAAAAATCCAACAACTGTTGTTTTTGTTAGGTGCCTTCATGTTGATTCTGACACAGAGCGCCCCCATGTGACAGAGTAGGTATTTCTTGGCTGTAATCTTTATGGAGGCAGAACACCAGGTCTTTCTCCCTTGGAGCCACTGTATGGATTGGAACTACCAACTTTTGGATTGGCAGCCGAGTGCTTAACTGTTGCACCATCAGGGCTTCTTAATCCAACAACTACAGGTAGGTGATTCAAAATTGGAGTGCATGCATGCCTCAAAGAAGCATTCTACCAAAGTGGTACAATTGTGAATCATTGAATAAACCATATTATCAGTGTTTTCATAGAGTTTTTCCTGTATGCATTAAACAGTATCATGTATCAAGTTTGGCAGAATGGATGTGAAGATTGTAATCTGATTAATCTCTGATAATATTTAAAACAAAATAGAGAATTCTAAGTTATGAAAAATATAAAATATATATTTGCTTTGGTTGTTCACCCTGATGGTCGTAACCAACTAGATTTAAAGATCCAATAAAAAAAAAGTTCAGACTGCCCATAAACTTCTCAAGTTAAAGGTTGTAAAAATTTTTGTTCTTTAATGAAGACCACATCTATTGCCTGGTGTCTTTTGCACTGTGGTAGAAAATGAAGAGCTGTGAGTCAGAGTGTGAAAAAAAAGATTTTTATAGAAGCCCAACCACATGCTGCAGGGCCGAGCAAAGGGTTGGTTTCAAGCCCTTCCCATGACAGTTGCAGTGGAAGGAAGAATTTATAATTTTGCATATTTATGAAGAGTTTAAATTAATTCCAATAATATCACCAATTCTCTGTAGATACAATGAGAAATGCTAAAGAGCAACTTGTTAACAATTGCTGCTAAAAATGTTTCTTTATGCAGATTTCAAATGTTCGGAGAAAACATATAAGTAATCTATGGGTTAAAGCAAGGAGCCCTGGTAGCGCAGTGGTTAAGTGCTCAGCTGCTAACCAAAAGGTCAGCAGCTGGAACTCACCAGCTACTCCGCAGGAGATACATTGACAGTCTGCTTCCGTAAAGATTACAACCTTGGAAGTCCTATGGGGCAGTTCTACTCTGTAGTATAGGGTTGCTATGAGTCGGAATTTGACTTGATGGCAATGGATTTGGTTTGGGTTTCGGATGGGCTAAAGCCACAGCACAATATTTGAACACAAGCATTTATCCATGTAGTAGTGATTTAATTAATTAATATTCCCATTAAGGAATAGAGTAGTCCCTTACAGAGGGGATGAAGGAAAAAGCAGAGATTCTGGAGAACCAGAAAAGGTGTCTGTTACTATAACAACTTTTCCTAGTATAAGCCGTGCATGAGAGAAAGTTGTCAGCTCACTGCTAACTGATATTCCTCTCTTCTCTGGGTGTGGGAGGTATGTATTAATAAAGCAGCAATATGTTTCTGTCTCCACAGCTTACTTAAATTGCTTTTGCACAGTGCTGAACACATTTACAAAATTAAGAGCCTCCATATAAAAATTTTACTATGGTACTTCTTTTATGCCAGGAACTACGTCTCAAACATAAAGCTCTAGTTCCAAAGGAATATTTGTCTCTGGGAAAGGTTTATAGAACATAGTGAAATAACTGGTCTAATTCTTCAATTCTAGTGATGTGGGAGAATGGGTCCAGTTATACATATTTTTTAAATTCCTTTTAATGGTTAAGTACTCAGCTGCTAACCACAAGGTTGGTGGTTCGAACCCACCCAGTGGCTCCACAGGAGAAAGAACTGGCGATCTGCCTCCATAAAGATTACAGCCTAGAAAGCCCTGTGGGGCAGTTCTACTCTGTCACATGGGGCCACTATGATTTAGAATCAACCTGATGATACCTAACAACAATAACAACTCACAAAGGAAATCAATAGTTCCGTAGAGAAATTGGGCAACTTCGCTACTGAAACATAAGATGTGACCAAGAATTTCAGTGGTTCTAATTCATCTTGGCTCATCGAGATTGTCATGAGCAGAAGATATCCACTGGCCTAGGCAGGGAGACCAGTCATAAGAAATCAGATTCCTTCAGTCTGGTTTTACTCACAGAGGCTCAGAGTGTGGGAGCTGGAAGGCAATAGGCTTTATCTAGATGCACTATCATAAGGCCTTGATTAGTTTGAGGCTTGGCCTTTAATTCAGACAATATTTGTTAATCACCTACTATGTGACAGGCATTGTGCTAGACACTGTGGATAAAGTAATGAAGGAGACAGAACCTATCCTTGCCCTTAAAGATCTCCTAGTCAGAGAGAGATGATTAAATATCAGTTGCCTCTTAGAGGCGAATGCTATGGGAAGAGATGGACAGAGAGCTTGAGAACACCTAGAAGAAGTCTCCTGATGCAGAGCGGTGGGTCAGGGAAGGCTCCCCAGAGTCTAAGCTAGAAGCACCTAAGCTGACACCAAAAGTAGAATTGACCCATGCAATAGCGGTGAGGAGAAGAGAAGAAGGTGCAAGTCAGAGGGTGTGTGAGTGGGGTTTGCTTGTGGGTGGAGAGTAATAGGAGATTGGGGGAGGAAGGCACATGGAGGCCAGAACATGGTGGGCTTTGGAAATCAGGCTAAGGAGTATGGCCGTTTTCCAATGGCAATGGGAAGACATTGAATGATTTTAATAAAAAGAATGACGTGATCAGATTCGTGTTTTAGAAAGATCACTCTGCCTACAGTGCTGCAAATGGGTTGGAAGGCAGAAGGCAAAACTGGCAGCAGACAGATCGTTTAGAAGGTTACAACAATAACCTAGAGACAGTAGAAGCAAGGATGACAAAGTGTCATGGACAAATTCCTGAGATAATTAGAAACATCAAATGTGATTGACTGACTGTGGGCAATGAAGCAGTGGGAAGAGTCAAGGTTACCCCCAGGTTTCTGTCTTGAGCAGAACTCTGAGAAATACACAATAGGAAGAAGATAAGAAGAAACTCTTCTCTTTCTTCTTTTTTTTTTTTTTTAAAGCTAGGAGGCACGTGCCTTAGCAAATGCTGTGTGCCATCGAGTCGATTCTGACTCCCAATGACCCTATAGGACAGAGTAGAATTGCCCCCATAGAGTTTCCTAGGTTGTAATCTTTACAGGAGCAAATTGCCGTGTCTTTTCTCCCACAGAGCTGCTGGTGGGTTCGAACTGTGGATCTTTCGGTTAGCAGCTGAGCTCTTAACCATTATGTCACTAGGGATCCTTGCCTTAGAAATGGAAAGACCTTAAAAAGATGGAAGCAAATGCTACATATAATTACGAATATCTCTTTCTCCTTCAGATGAATGATGCTTTTGCTAACTGCAAAGACATAACTGTCACTAGATGCTTTAAAATCATTTGAGAGCAATAACTTAAGAGTTTTAACCATTAGTCTGGCAACAGCTTATAGGCCACAGATATAGACCACTGAATATCTCTCCTTAAGGTGAGTTCATGGAAATGTGAAATTATAACTGCTAAAAGGCATGCAGTTTCTCCCTGAGTAAAGGAAAATGCTCTGCACATCTGCATTGTTCAGCTTGATGTGTTTCTAGAAGGAGCTCAGGGAGGCCTGCTTGCATACTGATCAATGACTGGAGTGTATCCAGCCCCTAACTGTGAATTAAATCTACAGCTGCTGGAAATGTCAGCAAAGTCACATACAAAGAACTCTGGGCCACTGCTGTTACACTATTAAATAATCAGTGCTGTGTCACATCAAATTGGATGTAAAAGTGCTTTGTGGCTGTTATTCCTACTGGGAGGCACTTCAAATGTCCCCCTCTCTTTATCTCCATTAAAACAAAGCTGGCAGCATAAAGGCATTATAGATACAGGTGGCTGAACAAATTGAATGAAGCCATTTTCTCAGATAGGCTGCTCAGTCTTTCCTGTTTGCCCTGGTGGTTTTTGTTTGTTATTGTTGTTTGGGTTTTGTCCATGATAATTCTTGAATAAGCTGGCTGATTATCATCGAATCTGGTCTACTGCTACAGAAGAGTGGTCTGACTGTACAGCTCAGGTTAGATTTGTGGATCAAGCTGCCATCTTGAAACAACACGATGGCCAATATGATTTTTAAATTTGCTGTTTATACTAATCATAAAGGATTAGAAAGATTTCTTCTTTTTATAGATAATGGATGAGGAGTTGCTGAAATGGAAACTTTCTTTTAAAAAAAATAATAATTAACCTCTTCTAGGAACAAGGCAAAACTCTTATAGGAAAGTTGTCATTGTCAACAGAGTACATTTGCCAGAGGGAAGGAGGAAGGAAGGGAAAGAGGGAGGGAGGGAGGGAGAAAAGAACTACTTTTTATGGAATCAGCTGCTCAGACTTTGGCTATAATAGCCATTGTTTGTTACAGTTACAATGTGGTTATTCAACCTAACCACTTCCCACGTGACTGGGAGCCTCCTAAAACTGGTACTGATAAAAACAAAAGTCCATCCCAACAAATACCACTGCAAAGAAATGTTTCTATTGAACAAAGATATTTCCTCACTATTACGGTAGCATGGCCCACGCCAAAAGTCTGCTGTTATTTCAGCTATTAGAAAATCTATACGTGACAAGCGCTATCTCTTCTCCCTGTCATTTTAACAATAATGCTCTAGAATAAATGTATCTGATTGTAATCTTTTTACACGCATGTAAGAGGTTGGGCGAGGCAGCTGTAGGGTATAGGAAGGATGGAAAGGAGAGTCTGAGCTGATTATTCACAGAGCTTTTGTTTTTCTTCCAGGCAGTGACGCCAAAAGGACCTGGGTTTAAATCCAGGATGTGTTTTCTTTCTTGAGAGGTTATTCAGTATCTTTCTGCTATAGTTTCCTCCTCAAAAATAGGGTGTATGAATATATTTCTCATGGGGTGGTTGTGAGGATTAAATGTACACAAATTGCCAGTGACAACAATAGGTGCTCAATAAATGCTACTTTCTAACTAGCAATTGTTCTCCAACTCCCTTTGTGCCTTCTTACTTCAAAGACCCCAACATCCCAGTGATAAAAACATACAAACAGAAAAAGCCAAATAAAGCACTAATGTAGAAAATAAACTAGGAGACATCAGAGCTCGGTCAATGACTGGATTACATTCTCCTCTTTCTCTTAGTAACTTCAGAGCACTTTTTCATATACTAATTTGCTTTCTTTATAGTGGAAAGCAGAATATAGTGGGACTATGATTCCTAGCAATGTATTTATTATGATAAAATTCCAAGCCAGCAAAACAATTTGGATTCTAATATATTCTTGAGTATTTTATCTGTTGGTAGTGCTTAGGTTAAAGATGTCACATAAGAGGCGAATTATTCACAATTTGCCAAACACAAAAGGAAAATTTAAGGTTAAAATCTACTGGAATGTTTTGTGAGTCCACACTAGCTGTGGATCTGGGATTCCGAAGACCTTCAATATCTTTTCCAATGCTCTACAGGTATCTATGTAAACCAGTTACTATGTAAACCACCAGTTTGGTTCAACTTTTTCAAAATATTTTTTTATTATCTAATTTTAGTCATTTTTCATTTCAGTCCTGAAATTCTATTTCCTATAGATAACAAACACTAAGCCCTTTTAGTGCAAATAAGAAGCACAGAACTAATTCTAAAATAGCACAATTGATTCCAGAAGAGTGCAACCTATTTCATCGTTGACAGGAGATATTTGGTTTATAAATGTATCCTCATTTGAAACACTAAGGAAAAATAAAAAGTATTCTTAAAAAAAAAAAAAAAAAAACAATATGTCTAATCTAGACTTGGGAACATGTCAAGATAGTCAGGCAAGGTCATTTACCGCTTAGTGTTTCTGAGAGCTGAAGGCTTCACTTTAATAAATTTTTCCAAGTCTTGGCTGTTTAAAAAAAAAAAAATTCAGATTACTGCTAGAATTTTTGGATCGGTACTGGTTTATTAAAACAAAATAATAAATCCACTCCACCCAGGGGCAACAGAGATGAAAGCAAGAAATGACTGCTTTTATTTGATTACCTCTGATCACTTCTGATTACTGCAGGGTTCACTTTGATGAGGCTATCGAGGTCTTGGTTTCTTTAAATAGCAAAATAAAAAGCGAGTAGATTAATTATAAAGGTCTTTTTGTGAGATCATTAAGGTTACATATCTGCTGTAAATAACAATAAAATGAAATGTTCTCCAAGGTTCACCATTCAGCCGGGGAGTGGACAGCCCCATAAAACCAAATGGGACTAATGAGGTACAGCAGTCCAGGGACAAGGGCCAGAAGGCAGAAGGGGACAG